TTGGTTATTACCTTTAAAGCCCTAAATGGCTTGGGTCCAGGATATCTCGGGGACCACCTCCTTCCATACAATCCTCCCTGCGCTCTCCATTCCTCTGGGAGGAACCTGCTGCAGCCTCAAAAATCTAGGCTCGTGGCGACCTCCCAGAGAGCCTTTTCTGTTGTCACCCCTAAACTCTGGAATGACCTGCCGGACGAGATCCGTCAGTTGACATCTTTAGACAGCTTTAAGAAAGCTGTCAAGACAGATCTCTTCCGGCAGGCTTTTCCAGAGTAATTTGTCCTGGCCTTGGGCCTTCTGACTCTGCGTTCCTTCCGTGGCCCCACCACTTGTTGGTGGATGAGGAGCGCTTTTGAGTCTGACCTGGGGCATTGTAATTTATTTTAGCTATGGTGTTCGTATTTTTTAGGTTGTAGGTTTTAAAATTTGTTAATGGATATTTTAGTTATATGTCATTTAATACTGTTTCATTGGGAGATGGGATGTTTGGGAATTTGATGTATGTATTTTCTTTTATTGTAAGCTGCTTGGATTGATTTCATTAAGCGGGATATAAATAAATTTTATTAATAATAATAATAATAATAATAATAATAATAATAATAATAATAATAATAATAACAACATGTATAACTTCCCCTGTTTTTATTGGTAGGTTTTTTTAATGTCTTGGAATCTGTCTTATATTCCAGGTGTGGGAGAAAAATGAATAAATGAATTTCTCTTCTCTTTTCAGAATCTTACAAGCTATGATGTTTGCAGTATTTTTCTTGGTACATCTACTCTACTTGTTTGGGTTGGAGTCATTCGGTACTTGGGTTACTTCCAGACTTACAATGTAAGCACCAGAGTGAAATATTCATAATTTGTTTATTTTAATGTGAATATCTGACAACCTCCTCTCTTCTGTTCATAGGTGCTGATATTAACAATGCAAGCCTCCCTGCCAAAAGTTCTCAGGTTCTGTTGTTGTGCTGGAATGATATATCTTGGCTATACTTTCTGTGGCTGGATTGTTTTAGGACCGTATCATGAAAAGGTATGCAAGCAGTTGGGTTTTTAAAACCTAATTTGTTATGTAACTAGGATATAATATAAAAATGATTGCAGCATGTAATCAATAATTTTGAGGTAGACAGATGGGTAAGTATATAGTCTATCTGTTGTACATCACCTGGTCTGTTCTGTTTTCAAAATACTTTCATGAACTCAAGATACTGCATTTTTTTGTGTATATCTGGATAAGAATAAACTGTGATGCTTAGTTTTGTTAAGCAACTCCTTTTACTGACCTGACCAAAAGCAATCAAGATACTGGTGCAAAACACAGTGAAAGGTTCACTAGTTTCTTGGTTTTAGCCCATTCCTTAGTTTCTCAAAAGAGGGCAGCATTGCACCACATCAATGTGACTTGGATACAGCCTCTCTATATGCAATAAGGCATCAAATATCCTGATAGCTTACTGTCAGCCTTGAACCTTCTTACTCTCTCTTTTGTTCAAAAGATCATGGTCTTAATATGACATTCCTGAAAAGACTAACAGAATAGATATATACTTCTGTGTAAAACAGTGTCATATCCTAACATTGTATCTAATGCAACAAACTGGCTCTTTGCAAGGAGAGGTGAAGTTTTGAAAGTGGCATGTACATCAAAATGCTCTAGGAATAAACTGGGATCTAAATGATCCCTCTTCTCTCTCTTTGTGTGTGCATGGTGCGCATATGTGTAGTTATGTACACATAAACACACACACACAAGGCTGATTGCTCCCTTTATGATTGCAGCTTCTTCTTGCTGTCACAAGCTGCTTTCAAAATTTCCCTGTTTCATGACCAATGAAGTCAAGGGCAGAGAAAGTGTGGCCTGTGGGCTGCATGTGGCCCTTGGGCCCTACTTTTGTGTCCCTTGAAGTCTCCCACCAGTTCCTCAAAGTGACTTGAACTCTCCCACCCCATTTTTAAAAGGTCCAGTCTTCAGGTAGAAATGGAAAACCACAGCTGGAGCTCTCCCTAATGCATGCAAACATGTAAAAACAAAACAAAAACAATTTTGCCCCACTTTAACTCTTCAGAACCTCCACTTCCTCTCAAGTACCTTCTTGCCCCCCTATTTTGCCTTCAAAATGGTGACGTTTTGAAAGTAAAACAAAAACAAAAAAAGGGGGGGGGAAGATATTGTATGCTGGGGGTGTGTGTGTGTGTAGCTCACAAGGTTTTTTTTTTTTTTTTAAATTGGCCAAAGGAGGCTAGACTGGTTCTCTCCTTGTTATCTTTCCACTGGCAGGCAAAGACTTTTTAATTCGGGGGGGCCTTTGGCTATTGACCTTACTTACTGTTAAATTGGCTTTTATCTGCAGGGGAAGGGGTGCTGTATTTTCTTTCCTGGTGTGTTTTAAAGTTGTGTACACTTCTCCCTGCCCATTAGTGGCTTTGACTTTTGCGGATTTGATTATTTATGGGTTTGATTAATATGTTCTTTTTAGCGATCTCTAGGTCCTCCAGTGTCAACTTCTACCAAAAGTCTTGCTGGAGGACCTAGAGATTCCTAGAGAGAAAATTTCTCTAGGCATTTGTAGGTCCTCCAGCACAATTTCATGGTCAACGTCTAGCAGAACTTGACCACAGAATTGCCATGGAGGACCTAGAAATTCCCAGAGAGGTGTTCTCTCAGGTTAAATTCCCAGGTTTTTTTATTTGTAGTTTTTCCACTTTCACAGGGGTCCTTTGCCCCAACTCCAGTGAATGTGGAGGGTCCAGTGTATTAAGTTTTTAAAAATGCTTTTATTCATTTTAATTTTTTTAACTGTACTTCTTCTGTTTCATGAGGGAGAGATGGGAGACTGATGAATAAATAAATCTTTCAGAAGGAGAACATCCATAACAGTATTTTGAGTTCATGAAAGTATTTTGAAAACAGAGCAGACCAGTTTTAGATTTAGAGCTCTGTTCCTTCGTATCTAGGCTATAATGACTAAAGTGCAGTATCATGCTACATTACCATCATATATATTCCACTCCCATGTGCTCACCTAGAATGGCCTGGATTCTGTCTTTCTGCAAGGGCCATTACTGGCTAAGGGATTTTGGGAGTTTTTGGATTTTATCACACGGGGGAAATCCTGTGCATAAATGGGATTTAAAAGCTGGGGAAACCCCGCAAAAGTGGGTTGATTTTCACACACATCACTGTTAAACTGTTGTTAACCCGAACGAAAAGTAGTCAGAAGCCGCTCCTTTTTACTTTCGGAATCAACAACAGTTTAACAATGATGTCGTGTGAAAATCTACCCACTTTTGTGGAGTTTTTTCTGCACGGGATTTTTCCTGTGTGATATCTGTCATAGACCATTTCCTCCCTAAGCTCTGGCTCTGACAATGAGATTGGTGTAATATTTAATCCTGATACACCTTTGGAGCCAGAATAGTGTGGTGGTTTGAGCATTGGACTATGATTCTGGTGACTAGGGTTCAAATCCCTACTCAGCCATGGAAATCCACTGGATGACATAGGGCAAGACACACACTCTCAGCCTCAGGAAGGCGAGGGCAAACCCTTCTCAACAAATCATGCAAAAAAAAAAAACACTCAATGATAGGCTTACTTTAGGGTTGCAGTAAGTCAGAAATGACTTAAAGGCACACAACTGTACACCTGTGTTTTCCATGTTTTTTTATTTATTGTTAGCCAGTTTGGATTTTTTTTATAAATGAGTGGGGTGGGATAATGCTTATCCTTTAATTTTCAAGTGTTGTGGCTATTGATGAGAATTGTTTTTCATTGCTTTCTAGTTTGAAGATCTTAATACAGTAGCGGAGTGTCTGTTTTCTCTCGTCAATGGTGATGACATGTTTGCGACGTTTGCTCAAATCCAGCAGAAAAGTACTTTAGTTTGGCTCTTCAGCCGACTCTACCTGTACTCCTTCATTAGCCTCTTCATATATATGATCCTTAGCCTTTTTATTGCTCTTATTACAGACGCCTATGACACCATTAAGGTAAAGCCATTGTGTTAAGTGCTTGTCTTCATTAAGAGTGTTGAACCATTGTTAATCCTTAAGAAAACCCATGATGGTGAGGAGGAGTTATTTTAGATCAGGAATGAGAATTATGAAGCTCTCTAGGTCAGTAGTACTCAGAGTGATGTTAGCTACCAGATCCTGGCAATGTTTCCAGGTAAGAAAGAAACAACTGTGCCCAATGGGCAAAAATATACAATGCTAGTAATGCTAGCATTATGCTAGTCCCTGGAATATTGGGGTGGGGGGATGCTGGTCTTCCATGTCAGATTGCCTGAGAAGCACTGTACTAGGTGATGGGACTTGCAGTTCAGTAACATCTAGGGTTGCACAATTCCCACTCTGGTTTAAATTATAAAAATGCTTTTGGTGGGCGAAGGTGAAAATGGCTCAGATTGGTAAAGGCTTGAAAACTTGCTCCCATTTAATTTGTCAGTTGATTTCATCAACCAGGATACTACTAGTTTAGGCTTGCCCTCTTTCCATAGGTAGTAATTAGTTGTTTCAATTAACTCATTCTAGAGCTGGATCCACACTGCAAAAATAATCCACTTTGATGCCATTTGAACTGCCATGTCTCATTGCTATGGAATTATAGAATTTGTAGTTGTGTGAGATATTTATTCTTTTCTCTGTCAGACAGCTCTGGTGCCACAACAAACTAAAAATCCCAGGATTCCATAGGATGGAGCCATGGCAGTTAAAGTGCTGTCAAACTGGATTATTTCTGCAGTGTGGATGCAGCCTACGTGTTTGTTTTTGTTTTTGTTTTGCTTTTAAACAATGGCTACTACTCCTCTCTATTTTTTCCCAGCAGGGCTCGTGCTTGCTCAATTTCAGTGAGCTGTTTGATCTGTGATGCTTTTTTCCTGTGTAGAATTTGTATGTGAACTCTTTCTTTTGTTGTAGTAATGCATGCTAACATATATAAAGTATCTCTTGAAAGTCTCTTTTTCAGAATATAATAATGACAGCTTGCAACCATCCATAGCTGAGTTGGTGATATTATGATGATCTGGGAACATCATAGTCTGCTCTAAGGTTAAAGTAGAGTAGGTTGGGGACAATGGGAGACCTGTTTTGTTCATACGGTTGCACAATATCAGGAAAGCATCTAAAGCTGGGAGATGCTGGCCCCTTCCCTGTCATCATTGGTTTTAGTAGAAATACTGGAAAACCATGTTCAAAGCTGAAGTAACTTAGTAGTACAACTCCTGGAAAGTACAAACAAGGCCAGAACAATAGCTTCTGTGATATTTGTCAAACAAGTGCAGAACAGTCTGTATTAACACATCATTCCAAGTATTCATGTCAGAGTAAAATAAAAGATGCAGAAAAATAAAAAAAGAGAACATTTTTATCTCTCTGCCACTGGTATAGGGTAAAACATGATCCCAAGTTTATTTCAATGTATTTTAAACTTAGCAACCTCTGCCAGAATGATGTCTTTATTCATCTTTTTTGTCCTTCTGTGATACAGAAGCTTGAGAGAACAGTAGAGAATGGATAGTGGCTTAATTTGAGCCCAGCAGCTTCCTAAACAGATTATTCCACAACTCTCTTTCAGAAATACCAACAAATTGGTGCTCCAGTTACAGATCTTCATGAATTTCTAAAACAATGCAGCAGTGAACAATACAGCACAAGGCCACAGACATCTATGAGCTTCTGTTGCTATAGAAGGTTGGTGTGCACTCTTTTCACCAGTTCTGCAGTTCTTCTGTATACCTTTTTGATGTTGGCTCTTTATGGGATCTCTAATAGGGCAGAATCACAAATCTGTATGGAACTTCAATCAAGCACTTGCCTGCTTTTTTATTTATCAATATGAAATGATTTCTAGAAATAGAGGAGGTTTGTAAGTTTTTGTATGTTGACAAATGTGCTAGTGAGGCCAGTTGATCTAAGTATTCTATGGAGCAGATTGCTTTCCTTGCTAGAAATTGGATGAAGTTCTTGACACATGTTTTCAGACAACAAAAGGAAATAATAATGGCAATTTCTCTCCCATCTTCATTAGACTTCAAGAATATGATTATATTGTTAAGGTGCTTAAAGTTCTATATCACTCCACATCAAAGATGGGCAAAGTAAAGCTTAGGAGCCACATTTAACCCCCAGGATCTTCTTCAACTCCTCCACTCTAAAAAAAAATGCTCCCTCTTTCTAAAATAACCTTTTGGAGGATGAAAACAGGTCTATATGAGAAATTACATTGACATGCAAATTGACCTCCTTTCTGGCTTCTGAGGGAGATGTGAAAGTGGAGAGACCCGATTGGCCCTGACTCCCGGACAAGTTTTACAACAGGTGGAGTTGGAAAAGCATTGTGCATTTTATATCTATCTATCTATATAGATAGATAGATATAAAATGCACAATGCTTTTCCAACTCCACCTGTTGTAAAACTTGTCTATATATCTATATAGATAGATAGATATAACCTGTATGTGTTTCTTTCTTTCTGTTTCTTTCTTTCTTTCTGGCAACTAGGGGAAAAGCACTAAGAAAACGTGTGTACTTTAAACCAGCTGAGTTTTCTTGTTATAACTTTAGGTATTTCTTGCTAGCAGGCACATCAACAACCGTCATTCAGTATTCCCAAATATATTCTGGAAGCACTATGGAATATGACATAGGATCTCTGAGGTTTTTCCTTGAATTACCTTTAGAGGAATGGGACAGTTGTCATGCAAAGTAGGAAACAGAATAACAGTGATATAAGGATATTACAGGGGACTGAGGATAATAGAGCAGGAGCTCTGACTGTAAAGTTTACATAAATGTTATTGGAGAGACTTGGACATAAGGTATTGCAAGTTTAAGTATTTAACCAGTCTTTATAACACTTACCAGCATATTGTATCATTGCTGTGAAGAAATATTCTTGTTCTCTCTTCTGCAGACAGAAAAGTGATGACAACATGATACTTATTAACTGAAGACAGGTGGTGCTGGCTTACATTATTGAAAAAAAAATGGTCAGGAAAAAAACTGTTGGGCAAAGCTGATCTTGAAAGCATACCCTCTTGAACTGCAATGGAGCATGGTATGTGCACATGTCTTTTCTACGAACCAATGACCTTAACTTTTGTCGAGGAAAGAGAAGCAGCAATGCCTTCCTGCCATCCACAGTGGGAGGCTCACAAACTACATTGAGTAAGCCTTGAATGAACAGCTGTTGCAAGAGCTGATCTCAAGAGGCACTTTAAATGAATGCCAGAGTGTTAAGTATCTCTTGGTCACTACTCAGTTGTAACCTGCTCTCTAGGTATTTTTATATTAAAATATTTAAATAGAAAAAATTAAATGAAATGCACTTCTTAAACAAAAAATAATGCAATGCTGATAACTGTAACTTTTTGTTTTATTTTAAGATTGCATTTGGTTTCAAGGTATCCCCTTCAAACATTACATATTTGTTATATGTTACAGATCTTGCACTGTACATAACTTTTGCTTTTCTTTTTCTTATATTCTACTTTTTGGTTTATTAAGGTGACTTAAACCTGTCCAGACATTTAAGATTCACTTGATTGTATATGCATGTTTTTCTAAAAACAAACTAGATTTCAACTGGTATGGGAGGCTTTCTTTGTGTGATCTGGATGTAGGTTTGCTCCTGTTACCCCCTTAATTCCAATGAAGGCTGTAGTCCTATGCACACCTTATAATTCCATGGCACTTAGACTGTTGATGGGCTTTACTCTTCAATAAACATGAATAGGGCTGGCAAATATCACCATAGCAAATGCAGCATATTCTGGTAAATTCACATGATTTTCTTTCAGGAAGGACAGTGTCTGACTTGCTCTTTGCAGTATGGCAATGTAGTACACATTTCTTTCTTTTTAAATAAATAAATAAATAAATAAATCCCACTATAAGGAACAACCTAACCATCCATGGCTGTGGCGGTTGGTGGTTTCCCTATCAGTGGGGTTGTGAATCTACATTAGGTTTTAGTCTAAATTTTAAATGAGCTATCCAAGGTACTAGACCTGTTTTTTAGTTATGGTTCAATGGTGTGGTTCACTCACATAAAGTTAAAGACGAGACCCTAACGTGGATTCTCAACCATCCCAAAGATACGAAAGCTGGCAACACCGTGCTGTATATCACTTCTCAAAAAAATAACAATTTGGGAGTAGTTAATCTAATTTTTGAGCCAGTTTGAACCCTTCTAGCTGCATCTGCACTGCAGAAATAATGCAGTTTGACACCACTTTAACTGCCATGGCTCAATGCTATGGAATTCTGGGAGTTGTAGTTTGGTGTGGCACCAAGCTTCTCTGACAGAGAAGACTATCTCAAAACTACAAATCCCAGAATTCCATAGCATTGAGCTATGGCAGTTAAAGTGGTATCACACTGCTTTATTTCTACAGTACAGACAAGGTCCCAGTTACCTATGCCTGGATGACAGTTTGATATGCTTAGGAGAAAAACTTGCCTGCAAATCCCAGGTC